AACGACTAAGTGTATTAATTGTTATTCATAATAACGCACGAACAACAATTTCCTTGCATTGTTATTCATGTAGTTTGTTAAACGCTTCGTACTGAGCGGAGCGCTTGTTCAAACGCGTGAAAGGCCGGGCGGACGGATCCGAGTCCGGCTCCCGAGTCGGAGCCCGCGTCGACCGAGCGCTCTGATTGGTCTGTGTTTTTCGTTAATAACTCGGTAACCAAGCCCTATCCTGCATTTTGCAAAAGGAAATTGTTGTTCAGGAAGACCCTCCCAATCTGCCATTTTCGGAACACCCTGTATGTGTAAGGAGTCACATTGGCAACTCGCAGCTCCGAGAAATAAATGGAAAACGGTTGTCTATAAGATACAGGGAATTTTCTTTTAAGTATTGTTACTAAGGCTCGAATTTATAGTCGATTCTCGCACTTGGCACTCAGCACTCAAGTGCGTCCAACCGTTGCGCGTTCAGTGTACACATTTATGTTATGTTCAGATTCTAAAAGTTTTATACTTCATGTTTGAAAAAGAAGTGAAAGAAGCGGAAAAGGAGAAAAACTATTGCGCAGCTATTCGACTCCTCTTACTTCTTTTTAAACATAACAATGTGTACATTGGTGGGACGCACTTGAGTGCTGAGTGTCAAGTGCGAGAAGCGACTATAAATTCGAGCCTTACTGCTGAAAAACGAAACTCGTGTATCGGCGTTTTTAGCGTAGCTAAACGTGTTATTAGACGATAAAATATTGATTATCATACATAATTGATGCTTCGTTAGCGCTACTAGAATTATGGCTCAAGTTTCAGTTTATCGGAAAATTTTTTAAAACCATTCGATAATCGTTGCAGTACGCGCTTGTTTTCTTCACGATAAATGCAGAAACACGTTGGATGTTTTTCAATGTAGGTGTTAATTTCGCCACGTGGAACCGAGTTACGTGTAGTGGTTACCTCTGAAGAATATGTACGAGGAAAGCGTTTGTGCGCGGCTAGCAACAATAATAAAGTAGGTACAACTTGGTAATTCCTCATTGATTAATCATTGTTTGCGGAGACTACAGAATGATAGACGCGAGGTCGTATGCAAAGTCTATTCGTCGAGAATATAAAAGCCGAGGATATCAGTGGTCTTTGTCCAAAAGAAAAAAGACTTGAACCAAGTTGAACTATATCATGTCGCGATTCGTAGTATTAGCATTGGCGATAGTTGTTGCTGTGTTTATTTGTAAGTACCATTAAACGATTCTATTTAAGACACAAAATTGTCTCGTAGTATAATTAATTAATTTGTCAATTTCACCATATAATTTTTTTCCGTACCAAATCGAAATAATAAATCGATGAACAACGAACTATGAATTTTTTACCACTTTTTAATGTCTCTAGGTCAGACAGCGGCTCAAGATCAGCAAAAATGTCCAGTGAATGAAATTTGGTCACGCTGTGCTAGAAGTTGCGAGGGAACTTGTGCTAGACCCATAGAATGTTTACCCGTAATTATTTCTAATTAAAGAATCACATTTTCAAAGTACGTTTGTACATTACTTTGACAATTTGTTTCAGAATTGCTTAGAAGGAAGTCCTGGTGGCTGTCGTTGTCAGTCGGGATACGTGAGAAATCTGAAGAACGATCAGTGTGTATTACAACAGGATTGTTAATACCATTACAAGGATTGTTAATGCAATAAAGAATATTTTGTCATCTGAACACTGTAATTATTAAGTACCATTCCTTTATAATATCTTAAAAATATATGAAGAACCGTGATAGAGGATAAGTGACACAATTACATTAGTCATAATACAAAGTGCATTTAAAAACGCTACGCTCTCGTCAAATTATTATGAAAAGCAGATTAGAAACATAGTTATTATCCGATGGAGAAGTACAATCCGTTGTTATCAACAATTCCATTAGATTATAATTATGTAGTTTGTAATTTTATTTGTAACTCGTTTGAACTTGGGCGAACCGTGCCAGGGAGCCGACTAGTGACCAAGTATGTCGACTCAATGTCTAGCTACACAGACGTGACGGCACCGCAACAGTACCGTACCGCAGTGAGAACGCAATGGGAACGTAGGTCTCCGTAGGTCGGAGGACAGGGTGTAGGAAAAAACGTGTAAAAGCAGGGAGCTCAGGGGTCCACGTTTGACACCGAATCGGCAGACGGGGACTGCCTGCTGCTTAGGATTCACTACTTACGTCCTACTACTGTCCTAAAGACTACGGCACTGACAATTACGTCCTCCGACCTACGGAGACCTACATTCCCATTACGTTCCCACTGCGGTACGGTGCTGTTGCGGTGCCGTCACGTCTGTGTAGCTAAACCTTCAATCGGGTTTGCTTAAGAAAGGAGAGAGACACACATACGACCCTAATCTAACCCTTACAATTAGTGTTAACCTCGGTGGCTGTAGGACGTGGACGATCCAGGGAGGATCAGTTCCTTTTGGCCACTAGATAATTAGTTAAAGGTGTGACTGGGTCATTCTTGGTTTTTCAGTACAATAATACCAGAAATCTCAGGTATGAATATTGTCAGTTTGTGTAGCGAAGTCTATAAATTTGTATCTATACGCCTCCACAAAGAATCATCACGCTTCATAAAGAAAAACTTTAAGGTGTCTTGTAAATTAGTTCTTCTACTTGTCTCTATTAACCCTTTCGTTTCGAGTGCCGGATATATTCAGCATCGGGGCGACGACTTGTGCGTACGAGCGCCGGATATGCAGGGTTCTCATAATTTTTCGCTCGGCCGGAAAGTGGGGACGACGCGACCATGGTGGGGACTGGTACTTAATGGGGGTATGCTAGGCATGGTCGCATGAGGAGAATAGTAGTGGGGATCGAAATACGGGCGAAAATGAGGGGAAGCGAGCCGTGCGCGAAAAATTATGAGAACCCTGCGGATATGTCCGGTATCCACACGGTCATTCACGGAAATTCCGTTCAGTGACGGTACTTTGGCGGATTGGACTGCCGACGCGAAAGGGTTAATTTGTTCGAGCTTACCATTTCCGTTTTGCCAAAAGTGATCGTCCTACGAATTATGTTTAACGAGGTGAAAAGAGACAGACATGGCAGAGTGCATAAAATAAAAAAATAATGAAGACCACAAATGGTCTTAGGAAGTATCACGCACTATTTTTCAACATAGTACGTTACATTCGTACGAACACCTGAATCGATAGAAAATGATCTAATGTACGAAAGAGAATGAACATGAATAGACATATTTCATCTAGTATATCACTAAATAATTTGTATTCTTCTAATAAACTTGAATCAACACATTAATTGCAAGAGTAACTCATTTCCTGTTCGTGAAATTTGTAATTAAAATTGCCTATATTATCACGTATTTCATTCGTATAAATCGTTATGCTTGAAGAACATAAAATATTGATTGACAGCAAGGACAAAACTAACACGTTACAATTGATCATTTTCTTTAAATGAAAGGCCGTTAATTACTCATCAGTTGTTTGCTGAAACGATAAGACGACGTGCGAGGACGAATATAAATTACATATGAAAAAGTTAGTATAAAAGTCGCTTCCGAGTTGCTTCTAACGTTATAATTGAAAGTTTTGTAAAGAAAGTGATATCGAGGAAGAAAACATGTTTCGATCCACCGTACTTTGCATTCTCTTTGTTACTGTCATCTTTGTTCGTAAGTATCTTATTAATCTGTAATTTCGGCTGTCGTAATCACCAATGCGGAACTTGTTTTCTCAGTTCAAAGAGAGACAGTGGCACAAGGATCTCCGTTATGTCCCGTGAACACAAGTTATCAACTTTGCGGAACAATGTGTGAACCAACTTGTGACAATCCTCACCCCAATCCTGAATTTTGTCCAAGTCTCGTGAGTATTATTACTATGATAAATGATTACAAAGTTATAAATAATAAGACATTTGCAAGTCTATTAAATAGGTTCGACAGCTACTTGAGACATTAGCGAGAAGATCATTTTATATATTATTTAAATGTTTATTTTTATTCTAGGAATGCACGAGGTTCACTGCTGCCTGTCGTTGTCTCAAAGGATACGTGAGAGATATGAACAGCAACCAGTGTATAGAGCTTAGTGAATGCCCGTCGTCTTAAAGAACCGTACATATTCAAATATTTGGGATCTTAACTTGTTTTTAAAAGTTCTTATGCACCTATGTAACAATATATGATGTTCTTCAAGCATTATACCAAGCATATACATTATCCAAAAAAATCTTTCCATCAATAATATCATCCTCAATTTGAAACATACCAGCCGATAAAACAGTTTCGATTTCGTTTCATTTTATATACAAATGAAATTGTTATTGAAATTCAAAATTTCAAGTTCTAGCATGCACTTTTCTACCAGGGCGATGATTAATTAATTACCATTTGCGTTTTAATACCTTGCATAAATATTTCAAGCTAACAAATTTTACGGCATGTTATTGCCAGACGTTATCTTCAGAGATACATCTTGTACAAAACGCATGCAAATTCGTATAGAAAACAGGAATATATAAATGGGTAATTTTAGCCACTTCGGCTTCAGAAACGAAAAGGACTATATAGTTTCAACAGTCAACATGTCTTGTTTCGCAAATTTTCGTGCTCCTCGTTGCCGTGCTCGTCGTTTGTAAGTTACTTCATAATATTTTACAACATCACATCTTGTCACCCAAACGAGATCGTGAACATTTATAGAATTACGTGCGAACCAAGTTGCAACAATTCAAACCCGAATCACGAATTCTGTTTCGTAATTGTAAGTACGATAAAGGCTAATATTATACAACGAGTTTATTATATTTCAAAAAAGCTCTAGAGAGACTCAAGCTTGCCGATGCGTCAATGGAACTTTCAGAAGCGCGGATTCGGAATGTGTTCCACTTGATCAGAGCTTGACTTACAGAAATTAAATATACATATGAGCCGTTCAGTGCACACATCGATTAACTCCACTTTTTGAAAAATCATAAATTTATGTGTCAAAGCACTTGGTATAGTCATAACTTGTGCTTTGACACATAAATTTAAGATTTTTCAAAAAGTGGAGTTAATCGATGTGTGCGCTGAACGGCTCATATATCGTTATTTCTATTAAACCCTGTGCAGCAAAAGAAATGTACACGCAATAAAACGATTTTCGGCTTCAATTCTATTCCTTACTTCTAAACTGTGTAAATAATAAAATTGTCAACTTCTCATAAGTTTCCTACTCGTGTTATGAATTCTCATTAAAATTTAAATTTATTACTAATAATTATACATATTTAAACATATTTAATAAAAATACAATAAAAACATATTTGTCTTTTCTTAATAACGTTGATGGCACATGTAGCATATTTGAAATATGAGCTGGGCTTGACGAGAATTTTAGACCAATCAAAATTAGCCTCTTGATGGCCAGTTCTGCTTAAAAGGTCTTTAATTTCATAAGAATGAAACATGAAATGACATCCAAATACAAATCGGTTCGATCAACTAAAAATGTTCAATATTCTATCGGATATTGAAAAATCGAAAGTCCTTGAAGTTTGCGTTTTTCATGTTATCCCTTGCTTCTCTCCTATTCTCATCTTTCTTCTTCTTTTCTTTGTGACGGCATGGATACTCGTTACCAAAGAAATTCCATATGGACGTCGGCTCACCAAGTTGGACAGCTACGAGCAATTAACAGTTACCATTTGCAATTGTTTCGAGGATCCAGTAGAAGAATAAAGAGATATCAGATCAGATTCAGGCAACGATCGATTACCTAATTGTGAGTAATCCGGACTCCACATAATGGAGTACACTCTGGATTCCTGCTCAACGGGTAGAACGTCGACGATGCGATCGAGACTAGCCAAAACTGGCATCACGGTGCACCAATCGCCGCCGCGTTCCTTGCGGTAGTGCCAGTGTACGACCAGTTCTCCGGTGAGCGAATTCCACGCTAGGTTCACGATCGTCCCTTTGAAGGAAACCTTGCGGTAAGTGGCGCCCAATGTTGATTCGTTCACGTTCCAGAGACCGAGGCAACCGCCGAAACCGACACACAGTCGTCCACCTTCTCGAGGATGCCAAGCCATTGCGCTGATGTATTCGTAATAGAAGATATAAAGGTGAATCATCAGGCTTGGCCAGAAGAAAATTCGAACAGCTCCATCGGCGCAGAGAGCTGCGATGTATTTGTAGTTGCAGGAAAATGCGAGGGACAGCACTTCCTCCTTGTCGGTTTCACAAGAATTCGTCGGTTTCCCAGTTTTGCCATCGTACGACGTGATCATTCCATTGCAACCTCTGTAAAAAGAATCAAGCATCATATGCTAATAGTACATATGAGAATTTTTAAAAATCTTTGTATCTGTTTGAGTAGCCGGAAAAAAATAAGTGAAACCACTTTATTACTTTAAACTTTGATTTTGAGCTGCGATGTATTTGTAGTTGCAGGAAAATGCGAGGGACAGCACTTCCTCCTTGTCGGTTTCACAAGAATTCGTCGGTTTCCCAGTTTTGCCATCGTACGACGTGATCATTCCATTGCAACCTCTGTAAAAAGAATCAAGCATCATATGCTAATAGTACATATGAGAATTTTTAAAAATCTTTGTATCTGTTTGAGTAGCCGGAAAAAAATAAGTGAAACCACTTTATTACTTTAAACTTTGATTTTGTACATTGTATTTTTATTTGTCTGAATTCCTTGAAACACACTGAATGTTAATATAAATGATGAAATCTGAAAATAATGATAATTCAAAATGAGAATGTATCAAATCAAATGTATGAAAATCAGCGGTGTAACTTTAAAGGATAGGAGTTTTTCTGGCGGGTTTACTATTCAGAAAATGAATAATCGCTCTCAATTTACTTGGAATATATGATTACTCGGACTAGCGGGTTTTCTAAAAGTCCGAAGTGCGGGTTGTCTATCTTTCTCGGACTAGCGGGTTATCTCTATTTCTCGGACTAGCGGGTTTTCTATAAGTTCGGATTGCGGGTTGCCTATCTTTCAGAAATGCGGGTTTACTGGGTTCTGAAAGATTTCACTGAACAGACAGAATTTGCAACAGAACAGTTCACAAAGTTGTGCTTGTTGATTAGCGGGTTTTCTAAAAGGAAATCAACAAGCGCGGGTTCTCTTATAACTTTGTGAACTAAATGCGGAGAACACTCACTTAGAAACACACAGCTACACGTGAAAACTCTTTTCACTCCTTAGATATTCTGCGTGGTACTTAACAAAGAAAATCATTCTTTTTCGTTTTAACGTACTGCTTGTTCGAATAGCGACAGCGGACTGACATTGCTCTGCCTTTCTTCTAAACAAAGCATTCATGCAGGTTCCGACAGGACCAAGGACATGACTTCATGCGTTTAAATCTCAAATGGTTGGATATATAGAATATCCGGTGATAAGATTAGAACGCTTTTCCGGCGGCCGTGCCGGCGGACAATGAGAAACGCGCTTTCATCGAGTCTAGTCTTATACTTAATTAGTAAGCGTTGAAATATTACATTGAATATAAGTGACTGATTTGCGTGAAAAATGCAGAATCCTTACTTATGATTAAACAGTATCTATTATTTATATTACATAAAAATTCATAAAGTTTATAAATTCTGGAATAATGAACTTTAATCAGTGCCATGTGTTTGTTTTTCTCTCCGAGTCATATTGAAAAAATCAGAGATCTACTGCTATACGAGTACGTATAAGAAATTTTCCAAACCAAGCGATCTATAAGTTATATTAATGAAATAAATACTTTGCAAATTTGGAAAAATTTTTGAATTTGAAAGGGTACTTCTTGCAATTCGATTTTCTCAATTTATAGCATTAAATATTATTTGTGATTCTGGTGAACAGAATGTTCTGAACCGATGAATTTCGATGAGCAGGACTTTATATTTTCTTCTCTCTCATCCTCTCCCAACCAAATCGATAAGTGGACTCGATAAAAAATATTTAGTACAGAAAAGGATTCTTCAGAGGAAAAGTTTACAATTCTATCAATCGAATACTTACACTAGTAGTTGTCGATCGTTTTCGGACCAGCAGACGCAGTGATCATAACAAGGTAAGTCAGTTTGAATCGCCTGTTCACATTTCGTGGACCAAATCATTTTCTTCGTTTCGCAGCAGTAAAGTTTGACATCGGACGACGTGCAAATGGCCAGCATACTACCTATTAATAATTCTTATCGATGAAACTCTTCTTTGTTTTACTCATTTATATTAGTAATACTTATTTTACATTTACCCGCCTGTTTCCACTTTAATGCGTGGACATTGCCTATGTCCACGTTGCTTAAAGTCTGGCCCGAGGAGCAAGCACGAGTATCGTAGAACGTGACGATGTCTTCTGACACGGCCGATATCACATCGTTCGAGCCCCAATCCATCATCTGGCCCCTGTCTAAAATAATAACAAATCGAATTCGTACTCATTTTTATAGTACCAGTGAATAATAATAAATTTGAAAGAGACGCACTTCGAAACCCAGGAACATCTAATATAGAATCTATGGAACCTATCAGTGGTTTTGCTCGAGGCTTCGACCACCACATGCCATTCTCTGGGTCATTTTCATACTTCCAGAGTTCCTTAGGCCTCGCCGCTAGTGTCCCCGATAGTTTCTTCACGCTCTTGTTATTTGATCGATATAAGGATCCTAGAACTTTTCTTTGTCCTAAGCCTGGAATCACATTTCCCTCCTCCATCAGTTGATGCATGGATTTCTTACGCCAATTCGTCGATAACGCTTTTACCTTCAATAGAAAATCTTAAACCGATCGCTGTTGCTATTCGAAAGATCGAGAATAGTTTACCTGTTCTAACACGTCCAACGTATTCTCTTTGAGAACGGTTTCCGCTTTCCTTGTTAAAAGATAATGCGACGCGTCTGCATTGAATTTGCTCCGAATGAACCTGTCACCCGTGCAAACATCCTGCGGGATCGCATAACGTCGTGGCTCCGAGGCGAACCCAGGATCCGCTTTATTGACGGTGGACGGAAAGCAAGAGTCTCGAACTCTTGAAACGTTCCCCTAAACAAAAACAAAAGACGCGGGGTGAAGAAGCGGTAAGCGGATTTACGAGCGTGCGAGAAAACGAAAGGATATGATTTTCAATACAAATGCCCTTCGTAATTTTAAAAGAGATCAACGCTTGACAATACCTAAATCGAATGGCCGCGTATATAGAAATAAATGAAATGTTCTTACAGACTCTACGTGCTTGTCCAGCAAGCGTAGCCGCGGCAGCCGCACCAGAGATCTTCTCTGCGGCGTTACATCGATATCCTCGCTTCTGTTCTCATCCAACAACAATCTTCTTCGCATTTTCCGACTTATTAACGTATAATAATAATAATTGTAACTATTCGTGTTGCTGTTTGAGAAAATGATTCGAATTCTAATCGACAATTTATCATTAAAAGTATATAAAATTACCACTGCATTCTTAATTCGCCAGCTGTTCGTACAAGTGACAGCTAAATCGAACTGATAAAAGTTTGTCGAACCGATCAATAATCACGATAAGAATCGACTAAATCTTCGAACTATAAGACGAGTAGTAAGAAGTGTACATAAACAAAAGACGGTTTGTGTGGTTTGGCAAGTAGAAGAAATGTGTGATGAAACGTAGAAGTATAAGATTTTCATTACATTTATTTGTCATCATTGTTGGAAATGGGTTTAAGAAATAAATAATCGGGTTTAAATCTTTAATTGTATCAATTTTTATTTGAACCTATACGTTTGGAAGTTACATGCTTACGAATGGACTAGAGAACAGATAGAATTAAACAAAACACACAGAGCCAATGATCCCAACAAATCTGTTGATATTCCAGCTAATAGTTAATTTACTAAATAATTGAAATA